GGGCGGGCGGGGGCTGTCTTCGCGGCGCTTCAGAGATGAGGCAGTCTCGTCTCTGAGGTCCTCGTGATTTTTATCTACTTATTCCTGGGTTTCAGTTCTCCAGGCGAGGTGCGGAGGGCGGCGGGGCAGCGGTGGAGCTGGGCGCTGGTAAGAGCTCCGCGGGCTGCCCCCTCGGCGCTGCCCCTTTTAAAAGGGGTGCTGTCTTTTTATTGCCTTCTGAAAGCTTCCAGCCTCCCCCTTCTCTTTGGCTGATGAAATAACCTCCAACTTTGCGAGAAAACTCTTATGCCACGGCCTTCATACAAATATCATGATGCAAACTGAATAGAATCATGTTGCTTAGGCCCTTTAAAGTACAGTTTATTGTTGGGATGCATCCTGAATCGGAGGTCCACCTTTCACAGCCAAAAAAAAAAAAAAAAAGGTACTTAAAGGGCATAAAATTGCATGTCATTTCCAGGCATACTCATTGCTCATTTAGTATTAGAAATTTAGTTTTTTTTTTTTTCAGGAATGTAGCATGATTTATTTTCTTCTTTTCCTTATTTTGTAGTACACAGGATTATAGTTCAGAAATCTTTCTTCATACCCCTTGGAGGAACACTTGGCCTTGTTCTCTAGGGACATAGAGACATGCACATCAAATCAATTATCATTGAAGGATTTAAGTCCTATGCTCAGAGGACAGAAATCAACAGTTTTGATCCATTATTCAATGCCATTACTGGGCTGAATGGCAGTGGCAAGTCCAACATCTTGGACTCTATCTGTTTCCTGTTGGGCATCGCCAACCTATCTCAGGTAAAGAGGTGGGGGTGGGTTGATCTTTCTTCTGCCAGTGACTTTATTCTTATTATTTTCTTGATTAATCTCTATTGGAGGACCTAATGTGGTACTTCTGTCCAAAAAATGATTTTATTTATTCCGATTTTTCAGGACACAAAGCTGAATTTTATCATTATTTCTCACTCTTGCATTAAGTTTAAACTACAATTTTGTCAATATAATACAACAGCATAAAGTATGCAACTTGGAACTTTAGAATAAAAATACCCAGTTAAAAGGAAGCAGCTTAAAGCTGGATTTCTTTAATAGCTAAAGGCCTAAGCTTGTTTATTTGGAATAAACATTCATACTTCTCAAGCAGGTCTTAAAATTTGACCACTAGTTCATCAGAAAAAAATAAAAATGAGATTTTCTTGGACTATCTGCTATTTAAAAGCTGATATATCTGCTTTACTCTCTATATAAGGCTGTATTGTGAGGTAAATTTGAACCACTTTTT